CAGGGAACTACCCCAAAACATCTACAAACAATGTTGTTCCTGCAGTCAATCCAAGACCAAAAAACTTTCCGCCATCCCATCAGCAGGAAGTAGCCAGAAAGAACACGACACCCCTTGTCCTTTTATAGCTATAGGGTCTGAAATGGCAGAGCAGGAGCATTGTCATCTTGGACAAACACTGCCACTTTAAGTTCCAGCTGCCTTTCCAGCTTCACGCATTTCAAGGAAATCACTTCTTTTCTAACTACAAGCCTCCAGAAAACAGCAGACAGTAAAACACAGATAAGACAGCTCAGGCACAGAGAAAGGCAGGGGAAAGTCTCTTGGGTGACTGCCAAACTTCACCCTTACACAATAGGCCTCAGTAAAACAGTGGGCCTTAATAAGCACATTCCTTTCCCTTCAGGTGCACTAAGATAGGGAAGCTAAAAGCAGATTCAGGGAATATGCCTGCAGCTGCCGAGAGATGTACAGGAAGAGACACACAACTCTCCCTCCCAGATAAGCACAACAAAGAGACACAGAAGAAGTCCAAGTCTCTGATAAAAACTCTTAGTCTGTAGTATAGTGTGGCTTTTGACCTAACTCGTCAGAAATCCCTCCCCAGGTTGGAAATAAACCTGTTGACTGTCGAACCGTCCTTCTTCTTTCTCTCCTCTTTAATTCTTATGACAACAAAAACTACAAATTGGACCTCATTTATATTAAAAACTACTGCTCCAGACTCTGTACAGTTTGGCTTTTAGTTCAATCAGGCATCCAGTGGGTACACACTGTGCGATTTTTCCTGTAATTCTTTCTGGGGTGTTCTTAGAATCAACTACAGATTGATTAAATAACCTGTCAAATGTAAACTTGAATATACAAGCAGAATCAGGATTGTGCTTTCAAAGCTCACAAATGTGTTTAGATTAGATACTACATGGTGGCTTAATAAAAATTTCCTTTATCCTATTCTAATTGCAGTTTGTTATGCCAGAATCCACACCACCCTACACTACTTCTGTCAGATACAAAAATAGAAGATAAAAAACTGTCCAACTTTAAAATTGCCCATCTTGAGCCAAATTGAAAATCAGAGCACAGGCATTGAAGATAAAGGTTGGATGGTACATCCACTATTAAAAGAAGCTTCACTTCTGCATTTGTGCCTTAGCAGAAAGTGATTTCTGGGGTTGGAGTTCTTGAGAATACATAAGGGGAAGTCACACCAGGTCATCAAGACCATTGCCGAAGAGCTCCAAATGTCTGTCTCGTTCAGACTGATGCAATAGCACAGGACAGAGATTGGCAAACTACAATTTGCTGCCTATTTGTGTGAATAAAGTTTTATTGGCACATAACTAAGCCCATTTATCTACATATTGTCTATCGCTGAGTTTGCACTGCAGTAGCTGAGTTGGGTAGCTGCAACAGTGAGAGTGTGGCCTGCAAAGCCTAAAGTACTGTGTGGCCCTTTACACAAAACTCTGTCGACCCCTGCCAAATAACATCATTATTTGATGTCAGTCTGGATAGCACCATTTAGATGTCTCACAGACAAATCTAATGGGACACGTTTAAAAAGGTGTGCACCTCCATAAACCTGTTTCATCTTCAGTGTTCCCTCTCTCAGTTAATAGTGCTACCATCACCAATTCGGCTGAATGAGAAGCTTCCCTTCCCTTTACCTCCCACACCCCATCCATTACTCTATTCCCCATCCATCAACACACACTGCCAATTCTACTCCTCAATGAATTTCAGATCTGACCACGTCTCTCTATTTCCACTACCATTTTCTTAGTCTAAGTCACTTAGTCTAAGTCACATCATTTTGTTCAAGATTGACAACAGTTTTCTAACTGATCTTTCCTGCCTCTAGTTTTGACCACCCTCTGCTTCTAATCCAGTGGTAACCAGAAGGATCTTTTTAACATCTAAATCTAATTTTGTAAAAAGCATCATAAAATATGTAGCTAAGATTTAATGAGCTCTTACTATGTGCCAGGCAATTCTAAGCACTTTGTATGTAGCAACTGATCTTAATCTTAACACTAACCCTATAAGGTAGATATTAGTATCTCCATTCTTTAGAGGAAGACATTGAAAAACAGAGAACTTGTTCAGTTACACAGTAAACAACAGAGCTAGTTGTAACTGCTTTATTATACTACTCTAAACACACACACACAGACACACACAAAAACAACTTATGGCTTTTCATTGCTCTTAAAATGAGTCCATACTACACACACACACACACACACACACACACACACACACATTTTTTTTTTCCAGAGATGGAGTCTCATTCTGTTGCCCAGCCCAGAGTGCAGTGGCGCGACCTCGGCTCACTGCAACCTCCACCTTCTGGGTTCAAGCAATTATCCTGCCCCAGCCTCCCGAGTAGCTAGGATTACAGGCACACACCACCACGCCCAAGCTAATTTTTGTATTTTTAATGAAAACAGGGTTTCATAATGTTGGCCATCCTGGTCTCCAATTCCTGACCTCAAGTGATCTGCCTGCCTTAGCCTCTATTATTGTTATTTCTCTTTTGAAATAGGGTCTCACTCTGTTGTCCAGGCTGGAGTGCAGTGGCACTATCTCCACTCACTGCAGCCTCTGCCTCCCGGGTTCAAGTGATTCTCCTGCTTCAGCCACCCAAGTAGCTGGGATTACAGGTGTGCACCAACGCGCCTGACTAATTTTTGCATTTTAGGTAAAGACAGGGTTTCACCATATTAACAAGACTAGTCTTGAACTCTTGACCTCAAGTGATCTCCTTGCCTTGGCCTCTTAAAGTGCTGGGACTACAGGCATGAGCCACTGTGCCCAGTTGAGTCCATACTATTTTTAATGGCCAAAGACCATTGTCTTGTTCTTCTCTAACCCCTGCTTACCTTTCCAGCCTGGTCTCTTGCCATGCACAGCCTTGCAATTTACGCTGCAGCCACCCCCACTGCTGTAGCCTCAACCCCCACAACCCCCCGCCCCCTCCCCCACACACAAGGCATGCTGTTTTTCACCTGCGTGCCTTAGTCATGTGATCCCCTCTGCTCTGGCTATTTATTCGCTTTTCTTCTCTTCAACATGTAGCCAACTGTTGCACATCTTTTAATGCTCCAGTCAGGTATCACCTACTCCAGAAAGCCTTTGCTGAGCAATCCAGATTTGTACTCCCTTTGTGTTCCCATTATGCTGTGTTCATATCATTTTCAGTGTCCTTACTGTACAATTGTGTAACTCTCTTTTTGTGCTTCTGTTTTCTTCAGTAGACTGTGAGAGCTCAGCAGTTCTTCCACTGCAAAAGTCTTGCTTTACTCTTTGACTTTTCTGTGTTTTCTTGGACTTCCTCTTCCCAGCCTTTGGCATAGGCTACTATGGCAAAACAAGAGTAGAAAGGGAGTATAGGATTTTGTCTTTTTGTGTATGAATGTGAGGAAAGGAAGTATAAGTACATAATGGAGATCATGAACATATTCTGAGGAAATGATATCATAGGATGAAAACATTTTAGAGCTTATTTTTGGTAGTTTCATACCAGTAATCTTTAGGAGAGGCTAGACCCCAAAATATATAATGGCTCAAACACAACAGAACTTTCTCTGTGATGTAACAGTCCAAAATAAGTATTCTTATTCAGCAGGCTAGTTCTGCTAATATAGTTATTGAGGGACAGAGGCTGACAGAATCCCCTAGATCACACTGGGTTATCACATCGCAGTCAGTCAGAAGAAGAAAAGAACATGGAGGAGCATAGATGGGAGACATCTATAGGCCAGGTCTGGAAGTGCCACACAGCATTTCCAACAGTCAGAAATTAATCATGTGGCCACACCTCACTGCAAGGGAGACTGGGTAATGTAGTCCAGCTGTATGCGCAAGGAGATGAATGGTTGTGGTGGGAAACCAGTGACCTTCACAAACAAACCAACGGTAAAGTTGAGGAAGTTTACCTTTGGTGTTGGGTAAATGATGGAAGAGGTTTATTTCCTTTGTACTAGTAAGCTAAATGGTGCAGCTCTGTTTAACCTGTCCCATGGGAAGCTGGGGTAGTCAAACGTAGGCAGTATTTAAAATCACACTTGACAGTTGAGCTCCCTATTGAGTCACTTAGCAGGAAGTAGCAGCTGGAGAATGATTTGTAATGCAGATGACTCCTTAATTATTAATCCCTGACACTTTGTAGATTGTCTTCGAGTAAAATCCCAGCTGGGTTAGTATACAATATTGTAATGCCAGCCCCCCAATATTTTTTCCTCTTTTGCATGTCTAGACTAGAGAGAGTGTTAAATAGATGGCAAAGTCGCAACCTGATTCATTACAAGCTAACCAAGAGGTGCTGAAAACAAAATCAAGAAAAATAAAAACAAAATATAAAAGGGAACTCATTTTCATTTCAAACCCTAGCCACAGGCATGGGCTTTTTCCCTACCAGTTTGTGTTTGCCCAAACAGAATGCACATTAATGATGACCTCATGTAGACTAAGGGAATGAGCAGATGTGAATCAATTTGAAATGAAATGTCTCCATAATTCTCTGCTAAAAGGCATATAAGTTCCCAGAAGAGCTTGTAAAACAGCTACCCAGGCTGTACTCCCTCCTCAGTGCCCACCCTGGAGTCTCATTTAGTCAGTCTGTGGAAGGACCCGGGTATTTAGATTTTTTTAATGTTCCCTGGATGATTCTGATGTAAAATCAGGTTTGAGGAAGCACAACTCTGACAGAGTGGGAGGGAGAATAGGAAGGCATGCCAAAGCATGAACCAGACAGAGTGATTTTGTTTTAATATATTAAAAAATAATGAACGCTAAGGAAAATCTAGTTTTATAGTTTGACATGTAGAGCTGTCTCTGGGGTTAGATGCATTCACAGGAACCTAGAAAACAGGACTCTTCTGGGGATTGGCCATACAATCCCTTGCCAAAGCTGACTATAAACTAGGAGACGTATTATGATGGTAGACTTTCTCCTGGACATTCCAGATGCCTAATTTGTTTTCTTCTTTTCCCAGTTTGTTGCTCAGCCCAACTGCCAACAGTTGCTTGCCACCCTGTGGTATGATGGCTTCCCTGGATGGCGGCGGAAACACTGGGTAGTCAAGCTTCTAACCTGCATGACCATTGGGTTCCTGTTTCCCATGCTGTCTATAGCCTACCTGATCTCACCCAGGAGCAACCTTGGGCTCTTCATCAAGAAACCCTTTATCAAGTTTATCTGCCACACAGCATCCTATTTGACTTTCCTCTTCATGCTTCTCCTGGCTTCTCAACACATTGTCAGGACAGACCTTCATGTACAGGGGCCTCCCCCAACGGTTGTGGAATGGATGATATTGCCTTGGGTTCTAGGTAAGTCAAAGGGACCAGGAGCTATAGCCAGACTGCCTGCTTGTCCTGTTTAAAGGAAACTACTAGAACAGGCAGTCAGACTAGCTCTGAACTAGGGTACCCCCACCCCACCCTCATGCAGTGTGGTAGTCCTTTGTTGGGAGTCTCAGAAACGTAGTTCCTTCTGTCCCAGGCCCTGGTCACTCAATATTTCCTGGTCCATGGTGAGACTGGCAGTACACCTAGGGCTTTCTTTTGCTAACCTAATATCTTCAAGGACAGAGAAGCTGTCTGGCAGTCTAGAGACAAAGCCAAGTTTCAGTCAGGATAGGCCTCAAATAAGGTAGGCAGAGTAAGCACTGAGCAATCTATTCAAAGCTCCTTTTCCTATAACCAAGGGGCACATGAATCTGCTAATTTCTCAAGGCTACTCTGCTCGACCCAATTCTTGTTTAGGGTCTACATCGTATTTGGACACTGATTTCACAACCAAGGGGGAAACCTGGGAAATTCACACACATCATGGTAAAAGCAGCCCTACCAGTAGTCTCCAGGCATAAGTACATTGCATTGGACTCTCCAACACACAGCCATCTTCTAAGTCCTTGCTACTCAAACTGTGGTCCCCAAACCAGCAATATCAGTACCACCTGGGAGATTATTTGACACACAGAACCTCGGGTGCCACCCTAGATCTGAATTTTAACATGATCCTCATGTTCTCTAAAGTCTGAGAAAGTGCTACCCTAGACGACAGCCACACCTTTTACCATTTTCTTTATTGCAATGCTGAAGAAACATCCATATCATCAGGTAAAGTTTTACAAAACTTCTACACAATGAGAGATAAAATTAAAAAATGAGTTATAAATTATTTTGGGTCTCATTGCCTAGCTTTAGCCCCAATGCCTAGCTTTAGCCCCATCATCTGGTAATTTGATCCATGATCAGCTTGATCACCTCAAAATTCATTGAGAAGTTTTCTTTCCTGAACCTGGTGGAAACTAAGGACTGTGGGATAATACTGATCTAATTAATTTATTGATGAAAATACTCCCATTCCAAAATGGAAAGAAAGTAGAATCAGGCACCCAAAATTGCAACAGCATTCCCGTAACTATAGTAAAAATGCTAAGAGTAGTACCCAGAAAAGTATAACATATTGGCATTTTCAGGAAAAGCCTACCAGGTCTGGCAAGTTCAAAACTGGGAGGTAGGGCAGGAAATCAAGTGATATTGTCTCTCAAGACTTCACTCTACTGAGACCCCAATTCCTTCCTTACTTTCAGCCTTATTCACTTGGAGGGGGGATCTTTCTATGATGACCAGGGCTGATCCTATGTAGAAATAAACTGTTTGCCTCCATTATTCAGGTTTCATTTGGGGTGAGATTAAGGAAATGTGGGATGGTGGATTTACTGAATACATTCATGACTGGTGGAACCTGATGGATTTTGCAATGAACTCCCTCTACCTGGCAACTATTTCCTTGAAGATTGTGGCCTATGTCAAGGTAAATTGGAATATCTGCCATTTTTCCTTCACAGTAATTTTGTCTACATTAAGCTTTTGCACTGAGAGCATAGAGTTTCAAGAAAAAGTGATGATGATGGCTCAATCCATGTGGGAAATTACCATATAAACAGACATTCTTTCAATGGTTTGTAAGCAGTGTCCACCTAAGCAAAGAAAGTGGACAATTGGCAAGTTAATCACTAGCTTCTGAGACTTCCAGGATAAAAGGGTCTTCAGCTTTCAGTGTTTAAATCCTCTCTATGATGTCCTTGACAACATAATGACCCAATGATGCTTGCATGCAGCCAGGGCAGAAAATGTCTCCATGAGGAAAGGCTGACAATTCAGTCTCCAAGATTGTATAGTTAGTCATGCTTTTTGGCACTAATTTCCACATTAAGGAGTTTTAGAATGGAAATATGGCTGTTCCCCAAATCTCCAACAACTTCATTTATTTTTATATCCCTAATATGCATACTGCATAAATTTTAAGACCTTGGGAGTTATGTAGAGCATGCATATTGAATGCAGTCATGAAACATTTTTGAAAGGAGCCCAAGAGTAGGCCCTATACATGTGGTGATCGTTTAACACATACTACAACTTCCTTAAGAGAAAATGCTGGTGAGGAAAATGTTTGAATCACTGGTTAATGTACCTGGGTGAAATCCATGTCATTCTGGCACTCTGATGACTAAGTAACACTGTTAAGGAAAGGGAAAAGTTCTTCCTTTAGAAATGGTATTTATACACTGGAGGGACCATAAATTATCAATCTAGAAATTGGTGGGTTTTGTTTAAACAGGAAATCTTAGAATATGTGCTGAAGAAAAGCATTAACATTTGGGGATATAAAAAATGTATTCGTAGATTCTCAACATTCGTTAATCACATAACCTGTCCGACTTTCCTGGAGGGGCTTCCAAGGAGTTAGATAGGTCTCCATCACAAAGTATAAAGAAAAATCTGCTCTATTAAGCTGGGTAAGTGCCCTTCGACTGGCAAACACTTTACTCAAAGGAGACCTTTGCCAAGAAGTTGGAGTCCTTCCCAAAAAAGAATTTGCAAAGCAAGATAGGCTACATGCAAAATTTGGATTTGCAATGAGAATTTATAAATGGGGATAATCAGATCTACCCAGCCACAGAAGTCTAGGCTGGATGACCTCCCCCAAGCAGGCTGTGCCAACTTCTATGAGGCAAAGCCATAAGAACTGCTCCACAGGGTCCTTGAAGCGTTTTGAATCATCATTGTACTGAAGCCATACAGAAGCACCAAGGAATGAGCTGGTCTTAAAAAAGATCCTTCATTTTACTAGAATGCAAAATTAGTCAACAATATCCATTCCACGTCACATGATCTATAATGAGAACCAAAAGGCACACGCCAAAGTACACAAAAGGAACAAATATATATATAAGATTGGCCCTTAGTCTCCCCAGATGATTCTACAAATGGAGAATAACCATTCTTTTGTTTTTTAGGATAATACCACCTAGATCTATTCTACCACTGCCTCACTTCCATGCATACTAATTAAATCTGAATTATGCTACTCACTGAGTTGTGACCTTTTCTTCAGTCAGTATTTAGCTAAAAGCATAATAACACTCCCCTCAAATTCTTATTACTATTGAGTCCCCAAATTAGGTTGTCCCTCTTCATATTTTGCTTTGGGATTTGTAAATGCAATTCACAACCTATGAAAGGCAAGGAGGCTAATTTTCTAATTGCATTCCATTTCAAAAGATGTAAGAAAAATCACTTGCCTCCAAGAGTCAGGAGACCTGAATTTAATTCCCACCCTGATACTCATGAGCAGGATTACCACAGGCAATCCCTCTACCTTTCTGAGCTGTAGATTCTGCCTCTTATAAATAAGCAGTAGATTAAACTAGATCAGTGGTGCTCAACCTTTTATAATTTTTCCCATGGTAGCACATCTTTAAGCAGAAACTCACACAGTAATCCCATATATTAAAAAGCCCAAAGGACTGAGTTTGGCTTGAGGAATGAGTCTTCTAAGTGTCCACTTTGGCTCCCACAGTAGCTACTAGATGCCTCTGCTGAACCCCAGGCTCTAAGGAATGCAGTTTAAAAACCACTGTGTTAGATCAGGGGTTAGAAAACTATGGTCTGTGGGCTAAACCTGGCCTGCTGCCATGTCCACATGGTTGCATATTGTCTAGGGCTGCTTTAGGATTACAAGTGAAACATCGAGTAGTTGTGATAGGAACCCATAGAGCCCACAAACCCAAAAATTTATACTAGCTGGTTCTTGACAGAAAAAGTTTGCCAATCTCTATGCTAGATGAGCTCCATGTTTATTTGCTGCACACACATGCTATATCTTTCTCCAGAGGTGCAAAGTATAGATTTACCATGAGAATCATCTTTCACACTTCTGAGTGTTCCACAAATTCAGATTCACTGTCCTATGGGCAGCAGACACCTCTGAGGTTACAGTTCTGGATGTGGAGAGAGAAAACCTCAAATTATGAGCTATCCATGTTCTGGTTAATGATTTCTAGTTTTAAAACATAGGTCTGTTTTGATATAAGCCAAGAGACTCTTTCACATATACTTCAAACCATTAAAAGCTGATCTATCATCTGTGCTGTGATATCAACTATCATATAAGTAACATTTAATAGAAATAGTGCTAGACTGAGTGTCTGGAGACCTGTGGTTTACTTCTTGCTGGATCTGCCACCAACTTGCTGTATGATCTTTAGCAAGTCACTCTGCCTCTCTGGATTTCCTCCATTTGTAAAACAGGCATAACCATTCCTACCCCTCACAGTAATGCAGCGAATGTTTGTTGGTGGAGGAAAAATGTAGAAATATAAGATTTGGCCAAGAGTACATAAAACTGATTGGCCACCTAAAAGTCTATCTGAAACAGAAGCACAAATGTGGCACGAATTCTCCAAGCTCCTCTGACAGTGAAGAATATTGGATACACAAAAGTGATTTTAATCGCACCAGTTTCCTCAGTTGTTGGAACCGAAGCACATTTTAGAAATGCTAACAATATAATTTGGCCCCAATGCAACATTTTCTGAGGAAAGTTGTTTACATTTAGTCCTGAGAAATTGTGATATTTAAATGTGAGTTCAAGGCAATATGCTTCAAATTAAAATCTAGGCAAAATCTACTTCTGTCCTGGGAAGGTAATAAGTAATTCTTTGTATTTCCATAACATCTCCCCTTATGGAGTACACAGACTTTTGCATATGAATACAGAATCACAAATATGTGCAGTGGGTGGGAGGCATTATCCTCATTTTATGGTGAAATTAAAAGACACAGGCAGTTTTAAGTGACAATGCCAAGTTGGAGCTCAGATCTCACAATGAAGTCATCTTTCTATAAGGCTACTCCTAATGTGCTGGGGGCTAGAAACCTGGGATAAGTAATCAATCCAATAAATACTGATTCTTCCCCTCCTTCAACTCCCTGGTTCTTTATGTGTGCTAAAGGAACATTCTAACTTATAGGGTTGTCAAATGAACTGTAAAATACATCCATACACCACTGTGTGGGGCAGTACTAAATTCATTACCTGAAAGGTTGGCATGCCATTTGCAATAGTGTAGAATACATTACAGCCTGCTAAAAATTCAGCAGAAAGCTCCAGTGAATGGCTCCCTAAGGATCCTCCATCAGTCCCAAAGGGCAGTCAGCAAGGGAATGAGAATGAACACCGCATACTGAGAAGGCTGCATCTACCCCTTGTCTTTCAGTAACAGCAGGTTGTCCATGGTGCTCAGAACCCAATGAGGCATTGAGGAAGTGAATTTGATTTGAAATCTTTAGGAAGCAGTAAGATTTATCCCCACTACCTTGGACATACTAGTGCCTCTGTTTCAGTGACACTCCCCAACAATCTGGTAAACCCACAGTTAGAAAATGTCTGTTGATAAACCACAAGTGGCTGCTTGAAATGATTGTTCTAAAATTCATTCTTCTATACGTATACATTTGGATGGGAGTGGGAGGAAGAGACTTGTTAGCATCACATTTTAATTGGATGGGGCAAGAAAGACAAATAGTGTCATATATGGGGTCTGTTGCACAATAAATGCTTGATGCATAATTATGGTGGCTTTGTTTGGGTATGGAAGGGAGGATAAAAGGGAAAGGTTTATAAATGTTCACTGTACCTCTCATCCTGTGCACTTGTTTCTTTCAGTATAATGGTTCTCGTCCAAGGGAGGAATGGGAAATGTGGCACCCAACTCTGATTGCAGAAGCACTCTTCGCGATATCCAACATTTTAAGTTCGTTGCGTCTCATATCCCTGTTCACAGCCAACTCCCACTTAGGACCTCTACAGATCTCTTTGGGACGCATGCTGCTTGATATCCTCAAATTCCTCTTTATCTACTGCCTGGTACTACTAGCTTTTGCCAATGGACTGAACCAGCTTTACTTCTATTATGAGACTAGAGCTATTGATGAGCCTAACAATTGCAAGGGGATCCGATGTGAGAAACAGAACAATGCCTTCTCCACGTAAGACAATCCCCTTTCCTTTTTTGCCATTTTTCTGCCTTTTCCATTTTTGCCCTGTTTTCAGCCTACAGCTTCATTACTGTCACTTGACTGTGAAGGCAGTGCTCACTGTGGATCCACCCAAAGGATCAGAGGTGGAAGAATGTTCTTCCCTTGTTACAGGGTACTAGGAGAGGAAGTGAACTTAGGTGAGGGAGGAAAGAAACAAACACACACATGGGCTTCCAGGAAGTCATCTAAAGAGTTGGTTCTGAACTATGTTGGTAGCATTACATACTTTTAAAATAATTAATTGGGGTGAGGTAGATAATTCCTCACTTAAAAATGTGGCATCCAGCAAGGTAATGAAACAGCAAAGCTATTCCTCTGAACAAGTGGCTACCAAAGCTAACTTAACTATTGTGATTCAAGGAATGATGCAAAAATATCTTAATGCACCCCCATTCATAGGCGTAATCTACAGAGGGGACAGACCGAAGGCAGGACTAGAATTCACTCACCTGCTACATTAATTTAAGGGCCAAGTGGCATCCAGCACTAATTGGAAATGTCTTCTATTTCCTCTCAGGACACAAGAGATAACTTATGATCTGTCCACGAGTCCATGTGCCTCCGACATGGACTTCCTGTGCCTTTGCGTAGTACTGTCAAGACGTACTTCTCGGGGGACCTTCAAGCCTTCAGAATGGCTTTTATTTTCTGATAATCAATGCTATGGGAAATAGACAAGAGAAAACAAATAAGTACATGCCAGGCTATTAGGAACTGGGCTGGGCTGACCCTGAACTCAGTGTCCTACACCTTGTTCATCTCCACCCCTACTTCTGGAGAGTGCAACTCATCACTGAGTTTTTTTTTTTAACCCAACATGGATGTATTCCAAGGACCCACATCCACCAAGGTGGGGGGATAAGCTTCACTGGTGTGAGTAGTAGAGAAGAAGGAAGAAAAGGAATGTCTTAGAACTCCCTGCCCAGAGTCTGATTCTCAGGGCCCAGACTTCAGGGGGTACCCTGAATGACATAGCTCTAAGTAGCCCCCAGAAGTCATCTTGGTTTTCCGAATGTCAAGGAGATGGGAGCAGTGAGGCAAAACTGGGGGAATAGGTCCCCGAGAGAGACCAGAACCCCCAGAGAGATGGGAGCAATGAGGCAAAACTGGGGGAACAGGTCCCCAGAGACCCATTCACAGCAATGACCCCAAGGACATACAAGATTCTTAGTCATTAAACTAATATAGAATTTTTTCCTTATAACTCCATAAACCAACACAGTTCAGTGGACTTTGACATTATAGAATTGTGCTCCATAACAAAGGCCAGAGAAAAAAAGAAGGACTCTGTTGAATGTGATAGAGAAACAAAACAATGCTATTTAGCTAATTCCTGTTATTCGTCTCTAACACCATTTCCTAAAATGGATTCACACAAACCCCAGTTCAGTAGCATGTTAATATACAGAAGAATGGAATCTGTGATTAAACCTCCTGTGCTAGATTATGTTTCCTGTCTCCCTTTCCAAAACTCAGGGCTAAATCTTGGATGGGGGTCCAAAATATGTTGGCAAAGAGATAGTGCTATTTTGGTGAAGTCAACCAGGAGTGTATAACAGCAGCTTATTAGCTTGCTAGTGCCTCTTAACTAGGAAAGGCTTCCTCTCCTGCATTACTCTAGAGACAGAACTCACAGCAACCTGTTTTCAACATAAAGAGCAATTGTATAGTGGCTTGAGCACGAGGAAACTGCATTTGTTCCCATCTAACTGTTGAACAGAATAAATACATGAATGAGAGGTGCCTTCCAGGAGGTCAGGTCCCTGCCAATTATGCTTTCATGTGTACTCTGCTAAGAAAGTTTATAAAGTGCTTCCTTGCAAGTTTATAATGATTAGTAACACCCCTATTGCCAGCTGACATTTTGCTCCCATCATTTGCCTAGCAGGGACAATTGGCAAGAATGGGCACCTATTATATGCAAAATTATATGTTGGGGTATCAGATATAAAGAAACATTGTCATGCTGGGGCCAAATCAGCAGTAATGTTACCTCAACTTTCCATCTATCAGTCAAAATTTTTTTCTCCATAGAAGGCTGACTCACATTTATGTTTTCTTTTAAATGCCTCAACTCAGGCATTCATTCATTCACTGAAACAGAATCTTGCTCTGTCACCCAGGCTGGAACACAATGATGTGATCCCAGCTTACTGCAACCTCTGTCTCCCAGGTTCAAGTGATTGATGTGACTCTGCCTCCCAAGTAGTTGAGATTACAGGTGCCCACCACCATGTCCAGCTAATTTTCGTATGTTTAGTTGAGATGGGGATTCGCCATATTGCCCAGGCTGGTCTCAAACTCCTAACCTCAGGAGATCCACCCATCTCAGCCTCCCAAAATACTGGAATTACAGGTCTGAGCCACTGCACTCAGCCTCAGGCAATTATAAACCTGTTAAAATACACGTTGCTCAGCCAGGAAGTCAGAAAGATTCTGCTTTTAGAGACGGGTATAGTTTGTTTAGGTATCTGGTGGGAAGTTTGGTAGCTGCTTCTTGTCATCCTTTTCCTTCTGATTCTCCAGAGATGCCTTGCTTTTCTTCCACATAAAAAGAAAAAAAAACAGACTAGGTGCGATGGAGAAATCCCATCTCTACTAAAAATACAAAATTAGCTGGACGTGGTGGCATATGCCTGTAATCCCAGCTACTCGGGAGGCTGAGGCAGGAGAATCGCTTGAACCTGGGAGGTGGAAGTTGCAGTGAGCCAAGATCGTACCATTGCACTCTAGCCTGGGCAACAAGAGCAGAACTTTGTCTCAAAAACACAACAGTAAAAGAAAGAAGGAAAGAAGGAAAGAAGAAAGAAGGAAGGAAGGAAGGGAAGGAAGGAAGGGAGAAAATAAAAGAAAGAAAGGGAGAGATTAAAAGAAAGAAAGAAAGAGAGAGAGACAATAATCATTTCTCCTTAGGCATACAATTTAAGGGAAACTCATTGTCCTTGTTGACAACCACATGACAGTACTGCTAGGGGTTTGTGTTTGGTATTGCTTACTGGGACTATCTGGCCTTCATCTGCTGTAGAGAAATAATTAAAAGGACATTATCATTCTGAAGGCACAGGACTTGTGAGAGAAAAAAAGAAGCTAACTTGATCTAGCCCTCATCTCCTAATGCTTCCTGAATACATCTGGCTGTTTCATAGGCCTCTTAAACACAGGATGTCCACAACTAAATTCCTTATCCCTTATCTCCATATTTTCACCTCCAACCTGTATCCCCTTTAATTCCTCATCTCATTAAATGACACCAAAGTCCTAGGAGTCATCTGGGACTCTTACTCCTTCCCTCATGAAACACATCATCAAGTATGTCACTCAGCTCTATCAGTTCTATTTTCAAAATATTTCTTGAATACCTGTCTCTCTCTCTCTCTCTCTCTCTCTCTCTCTCTCTCACACACACACACACACACACACACACACACACACACACACACACTCACCCCACTGTCTTGGTTCAGGCCTAAATCATTTCTCCCAAGGACTGTGGCACAACAGCCTCTTAACTGGTCTCTCTGCCTCCAATATGGTCTTCTCTCCAAACAATCTCTCCCACCTGCTATGTAGAAGTTTCTCTCTAAATACCTGTCACATCCTGGCCCCTGCTGGCTTCATGCCTGCCAGAATATCTGAATCTTCTCCATAAAATCCTGCCTCTTTACCATAACACACGGGACTTTGCTAATCTGAATCTTGCCTCTCCAGTCTTTTACTGCTCTCCTCCTTAGTCAACATTTTGCTGTTCTCCAATGACAGGAAAGTGTGTCAGCTCTTCAGACCTTTGTACATCACATGCCATTCCCTCTGAATGGAATGCTCATCCTTACCTAGCCAGCCTGGCAAACTGTTACCCATCTTTCCTACTGCTGCCAAAGTGCTACCGGCTCTAAAGCCTTTTGTACACATTCTAACCCCACTCTCAGCTGCAGGCTTCTTCTGTGTTTCCCATGGCATTCTAAACATATCTCCATTACATTACATAAACTGTTGTATTTCAAACATTTGTGCGTCTCTCTCCCAACAGACGGAGACTCCTATCTTAGTAAGCTTTGCATCTGCCATAGAGGGGCCTAAGACATAAAGGTGCTCCACATGGCTGCTGAACAATTGAGTGAAAAGATGAAGATGAAGTTCAAAAGCAATCTGATATTTTCAAGCTTTTTATTTAGAGATAATTATAGTTACATTGTAAGTGTAAGAAATACTAGAGAGAGAAATCTGTAAATCCTTCACCCATTTTTCCCAGGCATAACATCTTGCATAGCTGTAGTACACTAACACAACCAGGAAATCAACACTGATAAAATCCAATGGTCTTATTCTGATTTTACCAGTTTTACATGCAAGCCATTTGCAACAACATACATGGGCTAAGAGTAATCTTGTCTTTAATTGTAGATAATCTACTTCTGCTTCTGCCCACCCTACCCCCAAGGATGACTGAAGTATCTGGCCAACTCTGTCACTCTGCTGACCCACTTTGAGCTTGCTTTCAGCAAAATCCCTTGGCCTTTCTCCTACCTCTCTCATCCTGAACTTGGACACTTGGCCCAAGAGCAAAGCTCTACATTGATCCCTATATATATCATCTCATTAGTTCTAGCCCCTTGCTCCAAGCTGTTGAAGTCTGAGTCTTTATTCTGTCATCCAGTTTATTAGCTTTCCCTCTAGTCTTGTGTCATCTGAAGATCTAAGAAACGTGCCATTGATTCTTATCCAAAGCATTGAAAAAAGCTATCAGGCAGGCTTGGTATTCACTGGGTGGAATATTGGGCAGGTATTAAAATGATACACATGAAGACTCTGTATATACATTAAAAACTATCTAAACCCAAAATGTATAACTTTTAAAAAAACACAGAGATTAGGCTGGGCACTGTGGCTCATGCCTGTAATCTCAACAATTTGGGAGGCTGAAGTGAGCAGATCCCTTGAGGTCAGGAGTTTGAGACCAGCCTGACCAACATGAGGAAACCCCATCTCTACTAAAAATACAAAAATCAGCTGGGCATGGTGGGATGTGCCCATAATCCCAGCTACTTGGGAGGCTGGGGCAGGAGAATCACTTAAACCTGGGAGGTGGAGATTGCCGTGAGCAGAGATGGCGCCATTGCACTCCAGCCTGAGCAACAGTGCAAGACTCCATCTCAAAAAAACAAAGATATATGTATATAGATAAATAGATGGATAGATTATAGATAGATAGATCAATAGATAGATAGGTAGGTAGGTAGGTAGATAGATGATAGATTGATCCTAGGCTGGGTGTGGTGATTCATGCCTGTAATCTCAGCACCTTGGGAGGCCGCAGTGGGCAGATCACCTCAGATAAGGAGTTTGAGACCAGACTGGCCAATATAGCGAAATCCTGCCTCTGCTAAAAATATAAAAATTAGCAGGGCGTGGTGGCAGGCACCTGTAATCCCAGCTACTGAGGAGGCTAGGGCAGGAGAATCACTTGAACCCAGGAGGCGGAGATTGCAGTGAGCTGAGATTGCACCATTGCACTCCAACCTGGGCATAGCAGACTCTGTCTCAAAAACAAACACCAGTGATTGTATAAACTATGATTGCAACTATGTACAATTAGATATGCAAATGAATAATAATCTATAAAGACAAAGGAATGTAAAATAACAAGGTGGAAGTTTTAATAA